GGACAATAAATTAGCAACTAAGTGAATAAAATATGACGAATAATGGATGGAGTGCAATTCTTAAAGATGAGTGACCATTGAGAAGCATTTTGAAGTTCGGTGAGTAAACTGTGACATAATGTAAGTTGGATGGGTGATGAAACAATGATTTTGCTGATTTTTGTAATCTTTTAACGGCCGTCAGACACTACCTAGGAATTTCGTCTGTCACGTCAGCGCCAAACAAATGGATCTTTTGACAGTGATGAATGGAGAGGTAAATGGGAAAGTTGAGTGAGTAATGTAAAGCAAAATAAAGTTCGATTAGCAGTGCTGACGGTTATATAAGTACATTGATTTTTTAAACAATTCACTCCCAATTATGTCCACAGCCAAAGTTCCTCGTGTAATGCTAAATTCCGGCCAAATGATACCGACAGTGGGCTTCGGTACCGCAGCACTACCTATGCCACCGCCTGAACACCTTACATCCATATTCATCGACGCCATCGAGGCCGGCTACCGCCACTTTGACACGGCAGCCTCCTATGGCACGGAGGACTGCGTCGGCCGAGCAGTGGCTGCGGCACTGGACCGTGACCTTATCAAGAGCCGGAACGAAGTTTTTGTCACTTCTAAATTGTCGATATATGATACTCACCATGATCTTGTTTTGCCTGCCCTCAAAGAAACGCTCAGGTACTTGATTTTTCATTCCCTTTTTCACTGTATGAATTGAATCTCATTATAAATATTAACTTCAGATAATGAGAATCCCTTACAATAACAGTAATATAGTATAGGGTTTGCAATTACATTTGAAAGAATCAGGAAATTATAGGGAAGAAATTTGTCATAATTCATGACCCGTTGAGGAATCGGAAGCGGATGGACAACATGGTCCGTGCCCTACTTCCCGAAACCCCCGATAGGCGATGAGGCAGGAAAAGCGACGCTCCGTTGCCATCCACCTAATATACAGACATGTGGATCTATTGCTGCAAATTGCAATCAATTCCAAGAATAAAGGGCGAATTACCAAATATTTGACAGTCTATATGTTTTTGTCCCAATTTTCATGTAGTAATTTTTTTTTTTTGTCTTTGACAGTATATTTTTCTATCTCCTTTATTTCTTTAAACAAAGATTATTTATTTCTCTGATCAAAGGTCTTGTAATCAAATGAAAGTATTGGTCTCAATACCCAAAATAAAGGTTGAAGAAACGTGAAATTTTATGATTAATCGTAATAGCCTGGCTTGTAATCGCATTTTTATGTTGAAGCCAAGCTGCAGTGTTTCATCATGTAACAAACTGATAATGTTGGATACAAAGGAAATTTTGTTTCTAAAAAGATTGATAAACAAATAAATCTAGAACCAAGGTGACAAAGGGCCATAGCTACGTCTCCCTTTTTTTATTTTTTTGGACTACTGTATATGAAGTTTTTAATTGGCTTTAGGAAACTGGGGCTTGAATATGTGGATCTTTACCTCGTACACTGGCCGATAAGGATTAAGAAGAGTGCCGACCGATTCAAGCTCAGTGAAGATGACATCCTTCATTTTGACATAAAGGAAACTTGGAAGGCTATGGAAGAATGCTGCCAATTAGGTTTAGCGAAGTCCATTGGTGTCAGCAACTACAGTTGTTTAAAACTCTCGAAACTCTTAGAAAATGCCACCATCCCTCCTGCTGTTAATCAGGTAGCTTTGCCTCCAAGTTTACAGTACTTTCAGTCTCGACCTTCATGATTACAATAGGAAGTAATTTGATTTGGTATTAACGGTCGTATATTTCAGGTTGAAATGAATGTGGCATGGCAGCAACAAAAATTGCTTCAGTTTTGTAAAGAGAAAAACATTCTTGTTTGTGCATGGTCTCCATTGGGAGCAAATGGTGCTGCTTGGGGCAGCCATCAAGTGATGCAGAGCCCTGATCTTAAAGAGATTGCGGCAGCTAAGGACAAGAGTGTAGCACAGGTAATAGAATCAGTGAAGCTTGTATTATATGCCCAGACTCATTTAGGGTTCGTTTGGCATTACTTTTGAAAAGACAAAAGTGACTTTGAGATTAAGAAACTGTTTTTTAGCCTATTTGAATAATTTTCTGAAAGTATGTTGTCAGATTAAAAGAGTTTTTAAGGAAAGTTGATTCAATGTGCCTTTCTTAGAGAACTTCTTGACAGAAAGTAGATGCAGAACCTATTCCAAAAAGGCCCTTCATAGACATATTGTTCAGTATTATTCTATCTTCCGTATCTAACATGCCTTTAACAAATGCAGGTAGCTTTGAGATGGATACATGAGCAAGGAGCAATTCCCTTAGTGAAGAGTTTTAACAAAAAGAGGATGAAAGAAAACATTCAAGTATTTGATTGGAAGCTTACATACGAAGAAGTTAGTCAGATAAAACATCTCCCTCAGGCTAAAGGCTTTAGAGCTGAACGCTATGTTTTTCCAAAGGGGCAGTACAAATCCGTGGAAGAACTTTGGGATGGAGAAATATGAAGTCTACTCTCCCAACCAGTTTATTGCTCTTGTTGTGCTACATAAATTCCTTCTATTTGATTTGAACCCGATGGCAAAATGATGAAGATGGAATCTTATCTAACACGGCACACCAAAAAAGCACATTCTCCTTTATTCCAATGAAAACTTGTCTTTTGCTGCATGTGGTTCTCAATGTGGTCCTTTCATCAATCTATAAAGTAATAACATGACATGATTAATTGCTTTGCTAGCACAAAAAGGTCAACACACTGTATAATCTCTGCAATAGTCATCCACTCAGTATGGCGATTTTGCAAGTATCTAAAGTATTGTTGAACTCAGGCCATAAGATTCCATCAATAGGCTTTGGAACAGCGACAAATCCTATGTCACCAGCAGAACAACTGGCATCCATCTTTCTTGGATTCCATTGAGGCCAGCTACCGCCACTTTGACACGGCAGCCTCCTATGACACACAGGAGTACGTCGGTCGAGCGGAAGCAAGAGCACTCAGCTGTGGATTCATCAAGAACGATGAAGAAGTGTTTGTTCCTTAATCCTTCTAAGTTGTCGTGGAAAGATACACACCACGATCTTGTTTTACCTGCCCTCAAAGAAACACTCGAGTACTTGTTTGTTAATTTTAAAATAGGGGAAATTGATTTTAAAAGAGTAAGAATGTTTTAGTTTATATGTATCATAGGAAAACTGGGGCTAGAGTATGTGGATCTCTTTCTTGTATACTGGCCAATAAGGATGGAGCAGAGTGCTGACCCTTACGACCTCAGCAAAGAAGACATGTTTCATTTTGACATAAATGAAACCTGGAAGGCAATGGAAGGTTGCTATAATTTAGGTTTAGCAAAGTCTATTGGTGTCAGCAACTACAGTTGCGCAAAACTCTCAAAACTTATAGAAAATGTCACCATATTTGATTAATTACAGCCTTTAGTTTGAGTACACGTTTAGGCTTTTGTACACAGACAGAACCAAACAGTATAAGAGCATGTCTAAGCTTTTTAAGCTAAGGTAAACATCTCCTCATAAGTAAAATTGTAGCTTCTTTTTCTTTTATAATACTGCCGGTACTACTCAATCCCTAGTGTCAAACGTGTTCTGAGTCTCTAATATTGCGATTATAGGAAGTAATTTGATTTATGCAGGTTGAAATGAATGTTGCATGGCAACAACAAAAATTCCCTCAGTTTCGTGAGGAGAAAAACATTATCGTTTGTGCATGGTCTCACTGGGAGCAAATGGTGCTTCTTGGGGCAGCCATAGAGTGATGCAGACCCCAATTCTGAAAGAGATTGCACCAGCTAAAAATAAGAGTGTACACGCAGGTGATAGGATTCGTTTAATTTCTCTCATATTTAACATTTATGTTGCATTTTTATGATTGGTTTTGAACTACTGGTATGGGTTTTTGAAAACAAATGCAGGTGGTGAGATCGATACATGAGCAAGGAATTCCCATTGTGAAGAGTTCCGATAAAGAGAGTATAAAAGAAAACATTCAAATATTTGAATGGAACCTCACTGAGGAAGAATAGTCAGATTCAGCAAATCCCTCAGGCTAAGAGATTCAGAAGCGAAAGCTTTGTTTTTCCAAATGGGCAGTACAAATCCGTTGAAGAATTTTGGGACCGAGAAATATGAATTTTACATTCCTATTCTATTTGGTGATGTGAGTTGATAGTTTGTAATATGAGATTGTGCAAGTCTCATTAAAATAAGATATTGCTGATCTAACTAATTCAGCTTGGAGAAACAAATAGCCAGACCCTAAGGGCATGTTTGAGAAGCCAGATTCTACAACAATAAGAAAGACAGACGTGATATATTTGGTCTAAATCTCTCTAATCCAGCAAATATACCCTTAAATCCCTAACAAATGTATCCAAATAAACTTAATCATCAGGAGGAAATACTTCTCTGATATAATCAACCATATGGAAAAAGATATGTACAATCAATAGTTATCTTCAATAAATCCTACACATATATTCATGCCCAGGCCCTACTAAGGTGACGAAAAGATTGCAGTCAAATTCTTATGAAGTTTTCTACTCACATATCTAATCACTCGAAGAAATATCTTTTAGCGTTACTGTAGCTCAAGATCCAAATGTGGCATCAATCACTTTTATGAGATGATTTGCAAACACCAAATTTGAACCTTCTTACTTAATAATCTGATGCAATTCCATGAGAGCGATAGATTCGAATCTGAAGAAAATAATATTATAAAATTATAAAATGGAAAAAGAAAAAAAGAGAGTAAAAAATGCATTCATATTTGAATTGATTTTTTAAAATAATGAAACCTACTGAATCAGTGCACACGAGCATGTAGTCCATTTACCTGTGCAAGTGCATATACAGCTCGCAGGATCCTAGCATAGTCAGTTCCAAGCATTTGAATCACAACATCTGCCAAAAGGGTTCCCCACATCCTGCACGAGATTTCCAGATTACAATTGGTCAAGAATCACACAAGTTGATCCTAACTGAAGATATGAGAACCAAGTAATGCTTAGACTGCAGGCAGAAGCAGGGTTAGGAATGAATTACTAAGGGGTGGAATAAATAAGCATAATAAATGTACATGTATATTAATACATGCTCTATAACCACGACATCATTAGTTATAGTTATCCTTATTCACGAAAATAATTGCAATTTGCTAAATACACCAGCATTAGGAAGCATGTCTTTGTTTTCCAACAAAGAGAGTAATTTACTAATATTATAGCATGTTTTATGCTCCTTTAATGTTTAGAATAACGTGAATCCTAATTGAAAGGTCCCTTATCACCAGAACTTTCATAGATCTGCTTTTTCTTGGGTAAAAAATTGATAAATAATAATTTCTTGATACTTTGCTATATCTTTCAGAGATGAAATTCGTTTGTTCACACTCCTTAATGACAGTTCAATTCTCAACACCTGAAAACTACTATACTTTCTAAGCCAGATCCTCGGAGTCATGGAACCAAGGAAAATGTGGGGAAGTATTGAGGGATGATTGCAAGAGACGAAGAATTTAAATAAGAGAAAAGGAACAACCATAGGAACCATAAGGGAACTTTATAGGCAAAAGAGAATCCATACATTGGGCCAAGTAATTGAGCTATGCTTCTAAGCCCCAGATATCGAGTAGCAGCAACTTTTAAACCCTGTCAAGTGTTGTTGGTAGGCATAAGAACATCCAGATTCTAGAAAAGCTGCTAAAGGGCATTATATCAAACTATCAAAGTAACTAGTAATCAAAAGTCACTTTCCACCCATGAAAAAATGCCACCAAATTAAATCTCGTTACAGTTTAAAAATGAAGAAGAAAAACTATTGTTTTGCATTATATAGTGAATACGCATTGGATCCCAAAGTTTCTTATGAACAAGCCTAGGTATGTTGTTCCTGTAGATGTTATCTGCAAGACTCTTTTATTGTGGGCAAAATTGCTCATGTCATTAATTGCTACTAATAATGTTGCAAAGATCAAGTATCTATAGAAACTAATAACCTTTGAGTACAGCTGTTTTATTTTTATGTTACATTTTGGATTTTAATTTGAGAAGGTGACAGCAGTTTTCTGTAGGTTTTTAGCATTAAGAGTGGACAACACAATAATTGTGCGTGTGTGCATGCGTGCGTGCGTGTGTGTGTGAGAGAGAGAGAGAGGAACTAACTAATACATTATCAAATATAAGTCAAATCTTTTTAACAGCATTATTAAAATCATTAACTTCAAAACAGCATTACCAATGACCCAAAATACAGCTAACGATCCTGTCTGTGAAGCAAAATAGCATTTCATCAGAAAATTCAAAGACCCAAAATAACACCTGTTTTGCAGCAAGCAAGGCTGCTTGGGATTCTAAGCTGATAGCTGCCAACTGTCCACCCTGAAAACCAAAGAGAGTACGACTTCTAATTGGAAAATCAAATTGAGGAAGTTTGTCACCCCTAAGCAAAAAAATCCAACTGGGAAATGCTTTTTTAGATTGCGGACCTTGCTGACAACTTCTCTCTTCATCTGATATTTGGCAGCTTCCAAGAACATCTTTCCAGATAATCTCCCTTCCATCTGCAGCAGCATGACGTAAATTAACACAAAAACGAAAAGAAAAATAAAAGAAAAGAAAAATGGAATTGGACAATTTCATACCTGTGCAAAAAATTTCTCAAATGCAAGTGTCCCGCAACCCTGAAATACGAATATTAAGTAAACAGATAACAGTTAAAATGAAAAGAGATACAAAGAGCACAAATAGAAATCAGAAAACTGAAAACCTTTAATATTGTAGATTGAAGCTCTGCAGCCCCAAATCCTAAAGCTGCAACTGATTGTACCTTCCACTGACTAAGTCCAAGTTCTAGAATATCACCCCCTTCAGTAGATGTTGAACTGCCGTTTGAGCTTTGAAAATCCCCAGGTTCTTCACTATGGAAAACCATAACAAGTATCAAGATTATTCTATCAAGACATCTCTCAGATTTATGTAATTGGGCTTTTGGCGCTTTCCAGTGATGCATATATACTTTGAAATATTGCTAAAATAAATAAGTATATGAATTTGTTCATATATGTGTGAGACTGAAATCAATGTGAAAAGGCAAGAGAGAAGCAGTACTATAGATTCTTGCAGAAGGATATTGTAGGAATACTGTCTGAAGTTTGAAGATCACTGTCACAGGTTACAAAAGGATAATTCTTTATTATCTCGAAGTTGAAAATATGATTCATACATTATTTCTCAGCAACTTGTACTACCGTAATATATCCACAGAAAGAATTTGGGCTTGATAAATATTACAAGGGATAGGCATGCCACTATACATGTGGAATTTATCACGGACCAAAAAGGGAAACATAAGAAGCATATTTCAACCACTTATCTATGTAATCATTTTAGCAAACTTCTCTCAAGGATGAATGGATAGCATTTAAATTGCAGTAGTTGCTCAGTATCAGAATTTACAATAGAATGAAGAAAGAGACTCGACATACCTG